ACTTCATTACTCCATTTCTACAATTCAATTAAACATTTCATTTTCTTTGTGCTTGACATCCGGTTCCATTAGTCACAGAGAAATCAAACGCAGATTTCTGAATTCGTAGAATGTGGATGCCATAAACTATGTAAATGAACATTTACTACTTATCAAAGTGGAAACATATTTTATAATGATAGGGCTTTCCCCACTTAATTACAAGCCTGGCAGGCTGGCGGGCTTCTTTTCAAGTGTTTTAAGCGTATGCTTTTTTTGGGACTTTATAGTTGGTGCTTAAGTATGGTCATTAATATCTTCCAATACACATAACTAAAACTCAATTAACTAATGTTAAAAATTTCCAGTCCACATTTCACATTTTTTGACCAAAACACAGAGAGCCGCCGGTGGGCTGCGATAGAGAAATCTAGTGTACCATCGAGCTTATCGACAAATGGACAGCCACAAACTGCTGCTTTAGTATCTTTAGCTAATCACTTCAGGTAACATAATCTTACAGTATAGCCCAAGCCCCTTATTTTTTACATAATGTTATTCATACACGCTGGTTCAACATTTTTTTTATGACATCTGTTAAAGGTATAGTGGAGGATTTTCTTTAGATTTTCAGAAGACTCGCCCTTTCCACTTCAAAAAACAAAAATGCACATTCACAGCCCTGTACCCGCTCCCAAAAGAGCGTGCACGAGCCCACTTCTCCTTGTGCATGCTCTGTTTAAAAGTCGCTGTTTACATTGCTCACACAAGCTAACAGTCCAAAAGATTTGCAATTTTTTCCACTAAGTCAGACTCACCACAGATAAGTGAAAATGGGGACGAGCACTTAGGACGGCCTTACGTAAACATATTACCAGAATGATTGACAATTAGGAGGACCAATTATTTTGATAATCCACTTGGAAAAAGAATATCCTCCACTATACCTTTATGCTCAAGTATGCCAAGTTCCATTAGCCTCGCAAGACCATCCTGATCTTGCAAGCTTTCAAGATTTCACTCGCAAATCAGTCTGGAGACTCTCCGTTAAAGAAAATTTGGAGCCGTTCACCAAACGAACGTCCAATCAGCATTGGCTTTGAGGCGGGTTGAGGTGTGACGCAACGAGAAGCGCGCCAGTTCAGTCTAAAGAACATGGCGGCTTCAGCCGATGAAACTAGCGTTAGCGTGGCTATCAAGCAAGTTTTATCAGAATTACACAGTATTTCTTCACTGAAAGAAGAGCAAAACACGGCTCTGGAGGCTTTTCTCAGAGGAAAAGATGTTTTTGCCGTTCTCCCGACTGGTTTTGGCAAGAGTTTGATCTATCAATTGGCTCCTCTTCGTCGTCGCTCTGTTACGTCATATGCTTCGTTGATCTGATTGATTTATTTGGCCTGTCTATCACCAACATAGGCCAATCAGCTAACTAGTATTTTCGCCCCTTCCCCAAATTACTTCTACGGAAGGTTTCCAGATGGATATGCGGAGCAAATCCATCTGGCGGAGTCAGGTTAAAGTTTCATTGCTTTATCAGAAGATTTCTGTAAAAGAAAGCTTAGCCTAAACTGGTGAATCTATATTTAATTACTCTGTGGCTAAAGGGTCTGATGTTAACACAAATAAACTGAAATTTTTTTAAATCTGAAAATAAGTTATAGAAGTTTAAATTTAATTTCTTTTCAAAGTGATGCATTCAATTTTATTACATGACATTCAGTTGCTGATGGCACAAGTCTTTGCCCATACGGGTCTCTCTTCATTTTCTCATCTCAGTTCCTGTGCACAGTTTTCACACTGTGTACATCTCACTTCGCTCCCTTACTGACAGTCACTCACCAACAGTTTGCCATATCCTTCCTTTTTTCTCCTTGTATCATCAGCTCTATTAAAAGCTCTTTGAGCAACTGTTGAGCAACCAAAATATTTCACCGGGGCAGTTTAAATCCTGAATGTTGTTGGACTGTTAGTAATTAGTCTGCTCTCTCTGCGTGCATCACAAAGCAGCCAAACACAATTCGAAAAAACTGAGAAAGTAATACATGTGAGGTAAGCATGGGCCAGTTACCGGTAGCCCATTAGTACTTTTTTTAAAATAATAACACCTCAAAGAAGTCAGAAAGCCAGTGGCATGTATTGTGATGCCTTTTTTACTTAAAACACTCTCCAAAATTAACAGTCAGCGAATTAGCTGTGATGACTAATATGCGCTAATCCTTTCATTTCTTTATTATTTGTTGAATTCAAAACTGTTATTCATGTCAAGAAAATTGTAACACTTCTGTTTCACTTTTTATAGGATTGTTCCTTTCAAAATAAAAATATAATAATTTGTAAAATTTTTGATTAGCACATCAAACCAAAAATAGCTATTGGCAATGCAACTCCGTTGTTTAAAATCCTTTCAATCAGAGATAATAAGGAGGAGTGGTCAGAGGTTTCTCCAGCTGTTTGGAGGATAGAGTATAAAATTATTATTCCCCTCTGGCACTTGTTGCTGCAGACATAGGTTAGTTTCCACCCATCAAGGTGTCACCCATTAGACCTACTAATGCTACTGTACCATCGGACTTAAAACATACACAGCAGGGCTGGGCATTTGCATTTGTAATCGTAATTAAACAAAACACAATTTTCAAATCACAGAGCGACAGATTTTTAATTACACTATATTTAACATGTAAGACACTAAATTTCTCCCTCCAGCCCTTTAGTTGGTGATTAAATGCTTGAAGTGGGTCTGTCTCCATACAGAAAGATAGAGATGGTAGCACTTAGCATGAAGATCCATCCATGCAAGTAGAATTAAACACTTTTTCACCCAATAGTTACATTAAAGTCCTGTAAAAATAGCTTTCAATAACCCAAAGCCTGAGATGAAACATCTGGAAGCTTGGGGTTAGTGCAAAGGAAAATGGAAATAAAATCACAACTTTTGTAAAAAACAAAATCTCAATTTAGATTTCTGGTAAAATCGTTCAGCCCTAATATGAAGATAGTCTAACATGGATCAATAATTTAACACCATTGCTTTTCAACATAGTTGATTCAATAAAATACATTATACAATTACTAGAAAAGCCAGGAAGATACAGATTTATTTGTTTAGATATGCAAATTATTCCAGCACACACACAGTGTGCTAGAAAGCTTGTGTATGTAGTTATACTGCACATTTACTTCTTTAACTTGTCAAAGCCACCAACAGATTATCAAAGCAAAGACCAACAAATGTTCTTTCTAAATGTGAGTATTTATAGAGAGCGTGAACGATCAAATGATAGCCTATATCGAGAAAGGGAGAAATCGGGATGGATGGATGGATGGATGGATGGATGGATGGATGGATGGATGGATGGATGGATGGATGGATGGATGGATGGATGGATGGATNGGATGGATGGATGGATGGATGGATGGATGGATGGATGGATGGATGGATGGATGGATGGATGGATGGATGGATGGATGGATGGATGGATATTAACCTATTAAAAATTGCTTTGGTTTTTTTATATAATGGTAAAAGAAACAAAATAAATCAGAAAGCAAAGAGAGAAAAGTATGTAAAGGTTTTAAATGGAAAGGAGAAGATTGAAGTACAGGAGATAAAAGAAAGATAACACAAGTCAACACAATGAAGTTTGTCTCTAAAACTGCAAAAAGTGAATTAAAAACTGAGAAACCACAACAACAAACAACATATTCATATATAATAATAACAACAGCTATGACATCAATGTAAAGTAAACAGTACAAGGTAATACCACATGCATTTAGTGGTTACCGTGGACAAACTGAGTGTATTCTTTCAAACACCTGAATGTAAACATGCGTCTGTGCATTTGTGAGGATGTGTCCATAAGGTTTCTCCATATAAATTTTCAATTGTGGCTGTGGGAGCCGACAGACTCGACCTACTAGTACATGAGGACAAGACTAGAGAAATTGTAATCACTGACACCCAACTGCCACCAAGCACAGAGGCCTAGGAGCCGCGCAAAGAACAGCCAGACCTTACCCCACCCTCAGAAAGCAGCAGACCACAGTAACGGGCGACCCCCTGGGAGCCAGAATGCAGAATTCCAAGGAGGCTGCTTCGATACGCCCATAGTCTGCGGCAGCAATCCACTATGCCAGTGAATATCCAGCCATGGACACAGAGACACAAGCTCTGGGAGCACAACACCACCTTGCAGAGAACTGACCAAGCAACTGCACCCAGGCCCTTTGCAAGCAGTCATCAGGGTGAGCCAGCACATACCCTGGGACACAACCCCAGATACCTGGAGCCACTAAAGCAGAAGTGAGCAGAGGCACCAGCCACCAGAGCGGAGTCCGATACGTGGAAGTAGACAAATAATCCCAGAGAGGGTTCAGCTCAAAACTCAATCTGACAAAAAAAATTAAACACAATCATGCTCAGATGCAGATACAACAACTTACTAAACATAAACACCTCAGAAAAACAAACATCATACACCCACTCGCGTTCCTCATACACATTCTGTACCCCAAGGTCCAGGTAGCACCCTTTCTGAGGGGGAACCTGTCCATGGACCAAGAAAATGTTCCTTTATTTCTGGAGGAGAGACAAGCAGACCACCCAACTCTCCACAACAGATGAGCAGCCCAACCACCCTACGGATACCTGAACATTAGCCGAATGACCCAGGCCCAGACGTCAACCCTGGTCCCAACCAGAGACAGGACCAATAAGAGTTTGCACAGTCCATTAGCAAAATATATTGCAACCCTAGCAATGGGCTGTATTTTTACAGCTTTTTCAGGGCAAAGTGGGTAAAGTGTCTTGATCAAAGACATTATTATTGAGAAGGGTGGAGCAGAGACTCAAAAGAGAAACCCACATAATGAACCCCTACTTCCTGAGCCAAGACAAGTCTCATCCTTTATTATTGTATGTGTTATATTCCCTTGTGTTTCTCATGTTTTGTCAGGTCATTCCATGGTGAGCTCCGCGACCTGAACAGAACAAATATAATACTGCTTTTTCCACCTACCAGGCCGTCACAGTTGCTGAGAGCCACGGTGCCCCCTGGCGTGTCTGTGATGTCCCCCACGTACAGACACTCATTGTGCAGAGGCTCGGAGTACCGGATGCTGTCACTGTCGTCGTGCCACTCCATCTTGGCTCCGGGAGCCACCAGCCTGGTGTTTTGGCGCAGGCGCAGGTGAAACTCCCGGCCGAAGACGGTGACATTGTAGTAAAGCCTTTCCTGACTGGCTTGGTGATCTTGGTTCTCCTCGGCTCCTTGAGGTCCTTCCCACTGATTGTTGCCTTCTCCTACCTCCCTCTTCCGGCGCCTACGGGACTGCCCCACTGCCACGCGACCAGCTGAGACGGCATGTGACAGAAAGTGGCCCTCTGCATCCACACTGATCGGCCGTACCAGTCCATAGTCCCCCAGGATGTGCTGAAGGGAGTCTATGAAAGAGGAAAAAACAGAGTTGGATGAGGGAAATAAGCCGGAGAACCTGAGATAGGTGTAAAGAGTAATATTGGATGAAAGCAAAAGGAAAGAAAAGCCAATTGGATGACAGAGAAAAATTACATGGGGGAGGAATGAGGGAAAACTGGAAAAAGAGGTAAAGAAAAAAATTTGGTTTTAAAGTGAGTCAAGTCTGGTCTAAAATTACAAATGTAGAAATTATGGAATTGGAAAATGTTGTTTGCTAGTGTTGATTGTGACCAAAATGCAGAGATAAGGATGACAGGCCAACATTGTGAAGAAAAACATGATTTTAAATATGAGAACAAAAACACAGAAATACAATCAAGCATAAGAAGTGTCAACCATTATAAATACACTTAAATCAATGTCCATTGGATTATGACAAATGGTTTGACAAAAAAGAATGAATTATAGAGGATCTGCTAGTTTCCCCATATTGGCTTTGAAAGTTTAAAAATCAAATTTGTCATGCCTTCACCAAATGCATCACAATTAAAAGAACTAATATCCTCTCTTTTTTTTTTTTTTAATAAAGGATCAAGACTAGAGACCTATACTTTCAAGACACATATCTGAATGCTTTACTGATTCCTTTATTCTTTACTCCACATACAATGTGTTGCTTAAGTAAAAAAAATAATTATTGCTATGGTAAAATAAAACAAATCAGTAAAAATCCAATTTGGTACACCCAACCTCAGAAAACACCAGGAATCCAATTTGGTCAAGAAAGAGCTTGATCAAAAGCCCCAATATACAGACTGGACCACCTAAAAAAAGTTAAAACTAGCAGATTGTAAGGCATCTATGGATTGCAGATTACTAGTAGTCTTACATTTACAATAAGTGTAGTGAAAATTAGTGTTGAAAAATGTAAGATTAATATTTCAGACCAATTCACAACCATTTAATGAAAAATATGTTACTTTAACCTTTTTATCATTGTCACTGTCACTGAATGAAAAGAAAAATAAATAAATACCTAAGATCAAGCTATTATTAATTAAAAGCTCTTTTATTATATTATCAACTGTTAATGTACAATTTGCGTTCTAATCAGTGTTAAACAGAAAAGGAAAATACATGGTTAGAACTTTATTCAGATTCTCCCTAAAACCAAATTTAATTTTACCCAATTATCGAAAACATTTTTAAATAATTAAAAGAAACAAAAGCTGTTAAAGAAGTGAGGAGATAATATCCTTCACTTTATCCTCTTAATGCTGCGTTTTAGACGTGCCTCTCTATGAAGATCCACTCTTTTTTATGTTGACAGACTGTTGCCTGGCAATTTCTGCACATCAATAGTTTGTAGGTGACATCTACCGATTTGCTTTTAGATTTATGTGTAGCTTTTGCCCTCTAATTTACAGGACTGAATAGATACAAGAATAGACATTGGTTAAGAGATGCCTGTAATTAAAGCTTAAAGTTTACCTTTTCGCACTTTGTTGTGTAACTTGATTACAGTTTATTGTAAATCCAGGTAATATACCAAAAACATGCATTTAATCTGATCAAACAAAATAAAATCCAGTAAAAGGAAAATCTATTTAGGTGTAATGTTATCTTTACATATGTAAACCCAATTGTTCTGTGAATGCCTAAGAGATTTATTAATACAAATTAGCAAACGACACAAAGAGTTTTGGGTAAAATAATAAATCAAAAGGTTGTTATGAATCCTGTCCTAATCCTGGAGGAGCTGCTGAGTAATATCAGAGGGAGGAGCAACCTCCTCAGGTGGAAAAATCTGTTTAAAGTTAATATAGAATTCTATAAAGAGTTGCTCATAAAGACATTATGTAAGTTTTTACTGAAGCTATCTTTAAAGTAGCCTTTTTATTTGACCTTATATGACTAAAACATCAATTGATGAGCAGACTGACACCTCAGTAGTTCAGTGCCAATGCATCTCTAAGCCTGTAGCATATTTTCCTCAATTTACTTCAGGTTAGAAGTTCCCGAGCTGTTCAGCGGCTGTAACATCAACTCTGTCCATGTTGAATAGTTCTGACCTAGCAAACAATCGAAGCATTTTGTTCAATATGGATTTTGTGGATATTCAGCAGCAATCAGCAAGTAAAAAAATAAAAAATTGTCAAGTAAAAGTGTGGGCTATGAAAATGAGTAGAAGTTGTGTTTGGGCCACAGGTGGCAGTGTCATTAGAACACTCCATAATGCCTCTTTAAAGAGGTCCAATGTTACAAGAAAGTCAAAATGAATCACAATTAGTCTTACAAAAAGGGAAAACGAAGGCCATGTTGAGAAGGTACACTTGCAGCTTTCCGTCTTATATAAAAACCTTGCTATATATGGTGAAATACTTACACTGTACATCACTCTGAAAACACACAACTCAACTGCAAAACATGGTGGTGGCAGCATAATGTTGTGGGGAGGTTTTTCTTCAGCAGGGACAGAGCAACAACAGCATAAATGGGAAAATGTCTAACTAATATTAAGCCAATTACGGTAAAGAAGGTTAAAATACCACAGATGACCTTAGTCTGCAGCTTCAGGCATTACTTTAGTCTAGAACAGGCATCACCAAACTCGGTCCTCAAGGCCCCCTGTCCTGCAGGTTTTAGAGGTTTCTCTGCTTCAGCACAGCTGGTTATAATGATTGCAGTAGACCCAAAGCCTGTTAATCAGCTTTGAATTAAAATCACCTGTGCTGGAGCAAGGAAACCTCTAAAACCTGCAGGATAGGGGGCCTTGAGGACCGAGTTTTGGGATGCCTGGTCTAGAATAAACATAATAATGAGAATAAGAATAATTAAAATTTATCTCACATTGGAGAAATTTACCTGTGCATTTAACCTATCCCCTTGTGGAGCAGTGGGCTGCCGGCATGGCACACCCAGAGAGCAGCGTGGGGTTAAGGGTCTTTCTCAGAGACCCAGAGTGGCAGTCTGTGGGAGTGGGGCTTGAACTCAGAACCTCTGGGATACAAGTGCAATGCCCTAACCACTAGGCCACCACTCCCCATCAGGACACCTGGCAGTGGGATTGCCGAAATTTGCCCTCAGGATTTCAAGCTGTCCTAACCACTAGGCCGCCACTCCCATTAGATAGCGCAATAATCTAATAATTAAGATAATAGGACATTCATCTCTTAGCGTGACTTAGTGAAATTTCAGATGTAAATCCAATCGAGAATGTATCGCAAGACTTAAACATGCCTGTTTATAGTTATTCTTTATCCTGTCTTGGTTTGAACTATTTTGTAAAGCCAGAATGTGGCATGATCAGAAATAACTACAGGGGTATCTATAGAGTATGTTTGTGGTGGACTGAATGCAAACTCACTGCACAGTTAAACACAATTTTATTAGAAAGAAATTTCCAAAATAATAAGTAATTATCTTACACCCAACAACCATATAGGCCTATATATAACCATGTAGGCCTATATATAGTATATATGTATATATATATATACTTTTGTCTTTGACTATCATGAAATGTACAAATAAGGGGGGGGAAAATCTCCCCTTATTATCATATTTTAATCTCCCCTGAATCCTCCCCTTTCAAACAGAAGCTCAAGCAGAGCCGCTGCCCCACCCATGCTCCTACAGGCGACCCCGACGCTTGGGTGCGTGCGTTTGGAAACGATAGCCTCAGCACTGCGCGCTGAGCTCCTGACACCTTCTGTGCCCTTCCACTGACAACAGGAAACCCAGAGACACATCAAGGCGCTAATTCCAGCATCCTCACGCTGCTTCATTCCTGTCACACTATCCGACTTCAAAAAAAAGGAAAAAACATTCACTGTATGAACTAAACTAACCTAGTAAATGTTTTGAACAGAAAAGAAAACAATTGACTTTGAATAAATTACAGATGCATTGACATGTTATTATTTTTTACAAATATTTGTAGTTATAGTGGCAATACAGGTATGGGCTCACACACCTACACGCGCAAAAAAAACGGAGCCAAGGCCGTTTTATGGTGCCAGTGTCCCCCAGACAGGTGAGCACTCAGGTTAGTCACCACCTCATGTTCCACAGGCGCACACATCATGTAGGCTATAAAGTTTGCAGACTGATAACATCAAACCCACTCTCTTAATTCCTCTTAAACCTCTCCATGTTTGGGGAACAATTTGATGATGGAGTGATCAATAGGCTGACATCCGACTCCCTGCGTCCTGTCACAGGTCGATAGATGCGACAGCGGCCGAATCAGATAACGTTCCGGCTACTTCCCTGCAAAACCTGGCTGTGATCAGTTCATCTGCTTCTTCTCTACAGCAAAGATTGGATCCATTAAATTGGAGGAGCAGTCAGATCCCAGCGCGGCGCGGCGCGCGGGGACCCTCGGAAAGTACACGCACAACAGCGGGACGCACTGAAGTTGCAAATTGTCTTATTTTGTGGGTAAATAAGGCTGAAAAAAGGGTGAAACAAGCAAGAAGAGAACCGGGCGATAAGGAGAGGAGTTTCGGGGGAGCGCTCAGATGAGCCCCGCTGATAAGAGATGAGATCAGATCCGAGTATAAACACTGAGCACGTTTGGTTTTTACTGTACTCACCAACGCTACTGGCGATATAAAGGCCGCTGGTGTGCAGCAAGAAGGCCGGCAGGATAATTAGGACAGTCAATCCTGGCGAGAGAGCCATGACAGCTCCGAACTGCGCAGGTGAGAGAGTGGGACTCCGGGCTCCAGTGTGGTGAAGTTCCCCCGCCTGGCGCGACCAGCCACGCCACGACAGCAACAGCGCAGCAGCCCACAACTAGACTGCCAAGTGCGCCGGGAAAGACGGAGCTCTCCTCCTCTCTCTCCCTATCTCACTCTCTATCTCTCTCTCTCCTTTTTTTTTTTTTTAGCCAAGGTCTCTCACTCTCTCCTCTCTCTCACTCAACTCTTTCCTTTCTTTCCGCTCCACGTCTCTCTCCTCTCCTCCCTGCCGCTCTGACTCTCGCACCGGCCACTGGTTTCCCACCCACAGCCCGTGTGTCTAAGTGTGTGAGATGTTTCACGGAGCGCTGGCCCACTGACAGACAGGCCCGCTGACAGCTCCCTGCTTCATCACACCTCCAGCATGAGAGAGGCCTCGGCCTAAACTCATCTTTTTCTTTTCTTTTCTTTTTTTGTACAACTTATGCGCTCTTTCTAGGATCATAAATAGATGTCAGCGCTCCGCTCCAGCGGTCCCTGATATGCTGCATGCCTTTTTATAAACTTTGAATATTCAGCGAGCCGTCCCAGACTCGCTGAACACCAGCGCCCCTAGTGGCTGCTTAAAGGAAGCCGCTGGGCCCAGGGGCCCAATTTACAGGCAGAGAGAGGAGAGCTCCTTCTAGTCTTTGCTAGCCTGTATTGCCCTCATTTAGCACATGATTTACCCCGCTGACTATTAAACTCTTAAACACAGATGTGTATAGTCAGGGGCGGTTCCATTCCCAGGGTGGAGCCAGTTTATAATTTTCATGTGGGCACAGAACAAAAGATTGACAAAGAAAAAACTGAGCAAAAGGACATCATTTGCTATATTAAGTGAGCCATAAAGCTATGGTTGTAGACTACTGATGAAAACTGCGGTGCTACTGAAGCTTAAGCTCAAATAATTGTTAGAATAAATTGTAAAAGCTAAATATTAAAATTGGTCCAAGGGGGGATTATGTTACTGACCCTTCTGTCAGGACATATCATCATAAAAAAATATGTAGTATTACATTGATGGTGGTGAGAGGGCTGAGTGGCACCAGTGTACAGCAGCCTCACTTCAGACAGTGAGGCCCAGGGCAGCTGTGGCTACAGTGTAGTTTGCCACCATCAGGGTGTGAGCGTTTGTCTGAATAACTGAATGTAGTGTAAGGCGCTTTGGTCAAGTCTCCTGACTTGAAAAGTGCTATATAGGTACAGGCCATTTCCACAACAAAAACTGATCTATAAAAGGTCTAACCTTCTTAAAAAGTTAAAAAAAAAAAGAATGAATATTATGTATTTCAAATAATTTAATGGAGCCTTTTCTTTCTTATTTTTATCATAAATCATCTTATTCCATTGGCAGATTGTTAAATGTACCTGCTCACATCAAGAAAAAATACTCTCATTAAGAAAAAATATATATATTTCAATTTTTGCAATCCTTTTTTCAGTACAGGGACCATAACAGGGGCCAGGACTGGTTCTACAGGAGCACTGGTCCCTGTTTAGAACCAAACATGAGCATTGTACAGACAGAAAACAGCTATGAAATTCTACATGTTCCATAGTTTTTGACTCTACAATCACAAAATTCAATATTTTTGTTCAGAATTGTATCTAATAAACCACCAGAAAGTCCTTGTGAAGTAGAACTAAAATTATTCATGGATTTAGTTATTTTTTTATGAAAACAAAGCTTTTTGTGGAAGTGTGCATTGGTTTTCAGCTTTCATTACTCTAATAAGGGCAGCCCCGGGCCTCCAAGCAAAGTTTGATTTTGTGGCCCTTTATTTCTACCAACAATACCTATAACAAAAATATATAATAATATCTACATTTAAACAGAAATCATGAGTTAAAGAAAAACAAAAAGCAATCAGTTAGTTGCTATTGTGGTCCCCAAACTTGCACTTGGGCCTCAAGCAGTCGCTTACATTGCTTATGCATTGGGTCAGTCCCGACTTTAGAACAGAAAAAAAAAAAACAGTGTTACCTAGCAAACTCATCAACCTAAATACACTGTGCCGCCAGGTGGATTTTCTTCGACTTGCCAGGAAAGCTGGACAAAGTTAATACTTTGTTAAAGCCATAATTGATTTTAGTTGCAACTTTGTTGCATTTTCTGCAAAGTAGCTAAATTTCACTCAGACTGGATTTGAGAGCCTGAGTGAACAAAGTCTGAAAGTCTTCCCGCATATTCTGCATTGGATTATATGTTAGATTCTGACTTGGCTACTAATTCACAGATTTGCTTTGATTTGATTCATTAAATTTCTGCCCTGTCTGTGTGTTTAGCTGTTGGTCCTATTAGATGACGAAGCTCCTCCCCACACTCTAGTCTGTTGCAGCCTTTTAACAGAATATTAAGCTTTATTGTTGCGTATTGGGCTTCACTCAACTTTTCATCCGAGCCTGCTAAAGAAACAACATCCTGATTATTTGTATGATTTTTAAGGGGTTGAAACACAAAAAATTGTCAGAAGTGCTTTTGTAAATATGAGTTTTATTTTTAGGTATAATTCACAACAAATAGCTTAATAATAAGACAAATACACTACAAAATGAATGACCCAATGAAAATCTTTCCAATAAAAATATTTGTTGCAGTTATCTCTAATGTATGCCATCTGAAAATCTAATCTGGCTTTATTTACAGTCTGTGGTTCCCATTGATTTTTGCTAATGTACTAAAGGCTGTCACAATAGGCATATCAGATTTTACAACACAGTTTTCATGGGAAATGTAATACACAATAAAGAGAACATTACATCTACAAAGAGAGTATGAATCTTACTCACTTGTAGCTTAATAATTAGAAACAATTATTATAAAAAAAACTCCAATCTTAAGCAGTATTGTTTGTGCAAATTGTTCTGGGATTTAGGAAGGGAAAGCATATACACATAAGTAATTTCAAATTCCCCCTAAATAAAAAAGTCAGCTGAAATATTTACAGCTTGAAATATTTACAACTAGGTTCCAATTTAATAATAAAATAAAGGATTTTTATGAGCTGTTTTCTTATTAATTGCTAAGTTAAGTCATTTTAAAATACAAATATGTCCCATTCATATCCATTTACACTGAGTACAGAAATGTAACCCAATTCCATACAGTACAAATTTATTAAGATTCATCCACATGTAGTCAGATCAAGTTAAATGCAGCTAAATTAATTTGATCATATACAAACATTTTGCCTAAACGAACAAGTCCCTCTTTAAAATATGACTGTAGATCTTGGCAGATTAACCTGCATAAAAACATGTCAATAATAAATAGATAGAAGGGACAGTAAAAAAAAAAAAAACAAGGTAGACCCACAATATTACATTAAGTTGGTGAAATTTCCTTTAAAAGTTAGGGAGTAAATAACAGTACATGGACTACATGCATGCTACTGTAGCTTTATGACTTTTTATAGCATTAAAATTGCTTTTGGACCAGTCACTATCCCAGAGTTGTTACAAAAAAGAGGAAATAGTTTCTCCTCATGGTGCATACTTGTTTCTACAGTAAATTTAAATAGTTATCACCCACCTGTGTTTTTGATGCAATAATCCTGAATTGTTTTCCAAATGGAAGTGGGACAAACCGTGCATTGATGAGATGTAGTTAGCTGTACTCGTGCGAATGATTATCTCAACCTAACAATAGTGTTTATGAATATATATTAAGACTGGTTTTAACTTTTGAGTTATAAGATGAACACAGTATTACACAAAATTATTTTTTTTTATTTTGGTATTTATTGATATATTTTACTCTTTAAGCAGTGTAGCAGTAGTAACAGAGCAATTGTTAAGCTGGAGACAAAACAAAAAGTTAGCTGAGAATGTGTGCCCCAATGAAAACATGGAATGCCCCCCCTTTAATTTGTTCCTACAGCTGGGTCCGCCTGAAGGGAGGCATATATTTATTGCTGAAATCGTATCACATGCCCTGATCTGTTACACGTCAATTCAGGACTTTAATAAATTATAACCTAACAATACAGGAGGTTAATAATGCTACAATTCCCATCTGATTTGCAGTTGAATGTTAAAATTGATGGCTATTTCACTAATTTTAAAAATATGGATTACGTTAATCTTGTTTAAAATCTAAAATTTGATTATTTCTGCTCTGAGATTTTACTCCCCCTACTTCTACAGGAGCTTTTTTTTTTCTACCTGAGTACTGATAGTTTTCTCTAAATGTAAAGTTTCACACTTATCTAAAACAAGAGCTTTTTTTGTTTGTATTTTCATTAATGTGTTATTCCAGTACATCTATAATAATAATAATTTTCAACAGGAAACACTTAGTTTTGTACATGACATTTAAGAAAATCAGAATTCAAAGAAGTGGGATAGTATCAGGGTGTGTCAAAGCTCTCCATAACCTTCAATATAATTCTGAGGATTTCATGTGTCAGACCAATACAAAGTAGTGCACAATTGTGAATTAAACGTGCTTTATATGTGGCTTTCAATTTTTTAGAGCAACCATCTAAGATGGATGTACATTTGTATGAAGTACTTGCTAAGACTAACCCAGGTGCATACTTGTCTTCTCCACTCTGCTCTGGTCTGCTAAACTGGAAACTCGGCAGAAAATTTTCTACCAATAAAATCAATAAGACTGGCAAACCAGACTGCCAATGTACAGCACTCTTTCTTTAGTTCTCTACATTATCAATGTTGGTTTACTCTAATTCCAGGAACAGAGGGACTAGCCACGCCAAGTAACATCTAGGGCCCGCCCACCAAAGTTTAGTTTTAACCAATCAGGAAGTAAGAAGAAGGAAATGCAAACAGGACTTTTTAAAGAATTTATTTTTTCCAGAAATGACATTCTTTTTGCCAGTCCAATGATGAAATAACCAGTGCTTTATGAAAATTCAAAACCTGCAATGTTTAATAATAAAAATGCTTCATATTTTTCTACAATAAAAAAATCATTTTACTGTTTCTTTGCCAATAATCTCATCACAAAATAGTAGTTTCAACTCAGATTGATTTACAGAATGGAGTGTCAAACTGCATACAAACTGATTGAAGAAAAACCTTTTAAAGGTTGTTTACTCGATAATTATCCACCAATGTGCTTTTTTTGGTTACACATTGAAAAAGTGGAAAATAAAAAATACAGAAGTGACACCTCAAGAAGATTTTCTTTTACAAAGTGTCTGC